CTGGAGGGGCTTGAGCACCCGCCCCTTTCCTGATGGGTGCCCAAAGTACCCTTTTGTTGAGGCAACTTAAAAAAAATAATTATTTATTTATTTGTTAGAGTCCTGTCTGTGCCCCTCAACAATAATATTTAACTATTAATCACAGTTTTGCTAAATAAAAGGATCGGGCTTGCATTTGCATTACATTTGTTTTCCACTTCTGGATACAATTCAGAAAGTCTAGACTCAGAGAAATGCGCCCTGTGTAAGACCTTAAATTGAATAAGTCCAAGAGGAGCGCAGGAGGTGGACGATCGTACCCTCGCTATAGCCTGTTCCCAAGACTCCTCATGGATTTGAATTCCTAGTTCTCCTTCCCGTGGACACTTAAGCTTAACATTAGAGTGGTTACTAAAAGACAGGATAGTATCATAGAGTTTCGAAATGGTTCCTCTGTGATGAGGAATAAATGATAGCGTAGTTTCCCACTGCTGTTCTGGAGGTAAAGAGGGAAATTTGGGAAACACTTGGCAACAAAATTTCGAATTTGAAAATAGTGAAACAAATGGGTGGTAGGGAGATCGTACCGAGAGGCACAGAGAGACTTGATGAATTTAAGAATCTTATGATTTAATGAAGAAATTTGCACAGAGACGGTAAAATTCTGATGACTGATAACGTAGATGAATACAACAGACGAGGAACAGGCGTTTAAATGCAGAAAGGAGACAGTCAGAGACAACTCAGGACAACTGGAGACATTTAAGGATGCAGGGACTGACAGAGACGGGGACGACGTCTCATCGTGACGAGTAAAGTTGATCTTGCTCTGGCTGGGCAGCTGTCTGGGTGCTCAGCACCCCCAAAGCTCTGATTGTATCGCCCCTGTTCTTCAGTCCTAGAACTGAAGAAGCTTCTCGGATGAGAGGTGAAACGTCTTCAAGCAACTTAAAGATTTACTCTACTAAGTACACGCTTAATGTACTTGTGCTACTTTCTGATACTGTTTGACTTTATTCTGGATCAAAAGATTGTACTTTGTACTGCACAGGATTTATTTTTAAGATTTAGTTTCTTATTTGTGTTATAGAAACCATGCACAGCTGCAAGGATGCGATGACGTATCACGCGTCCTTCTGAAAGTGCAGCTCCACAGCACAAGTACATTTACTTGGATGACACCAGGGGGCGACACAGAGCCTGTCAGCCATCTTATAGCAAGTTAAACATAAACAAAGGTTAAAAATAGTTTCTTTCTTATAATTCCAAATTTATTTTTATTATAAATAAACAAACAATAAAAGTAATAAACTGAAAATAAGATAAGAACTCACTAAAAATAAAAGCGATTCAGATAACAGTCAGTCCACTGTGAGTTTCTTTATCATCCATCGTTACTCAGCAGGAAGTCTTCGCCCCCCC